TGTAGGGGGCTTGGTCACTTAGGTAAATATATTAAAGATTATGGTACCCAGGCTTCTCACAGAGTTATAATTATAGGTACAGTTGTGGAAAGGGTGGAAATTAGAGGAACTCTGTGGTGTTGGCTTGGAATTGGTAGTGTCAGGGTAAACTCTTGGTTTTTCCATATGTATATATGCCTACATACGGAAGTAAATAGAGATGTAAAGTGTGGTAATGTGTGTGCTTGTGCATAATATCCATATGCTTTAGCTCTGTCCACTGAGAGGGCCTGGCAGCAGTAACACTAATGGCAAAGAGCATACCTGACACACAGCCATCGGTTTCTAGATATCATTCTTTACTAATAAATGCGAGGGCTTCTGAGTCTAATCCCGAAGAAACAGCTTGCCCAAATTGAGAGAGACTGCTACAAAGTAACTGGCCTATACTCTTCGAAAGTGTCAAGGTCATCAAAGTCGAGGAAAGACTGAGGAACTTGTTCTAGTGTGAAATAGGTGAAAGAAACAGGACAACTACATACAACATGTCCTTTTACTATAAGGAACATTTTTGGAGTAATCAGTGAAGCTGAGGTCTGAGGAACAGAGGGCAAGTAGTAATATCTCAACCATAATTTTCTGATTTGGGGTAATTTTCAAGAATATCTTTGTGGGAAATACACACTAAATTATTTGGCGTAATGGGGCAGTATTTCTGCAAGTTATTCTAAAAAATTCAAGGAAAAATATTCTTTCTTTTTTTTTTTTGAGACAGTCTCACTCTGTTGCCCAGACTAGAATGCAGTGGTGCAATCTCAGCTCACTGCAGCCTCTGCCTTCCGGGTGCAAGCAATTCTCCTGCCTCAGCCTCCCAAGTAGCTGGGACTACAGGCACACACAACCACACCTAGCTCATCTTTGTATTTGTAGTAGAGGCTGGGTTTCACCATGTTGACCAGGTGGGTCTCTAACTCCTGACCTCAGGTGATCTGCCCTCCTCGGCCTCCCAAAGTGCTGGGATTACAGGCATGAGCCACCATGCCCAGCCAAGGAAAAATATTATTTGTGCTCTTTTGTACCTTTTCTGTAAGTTTGGCATTGATTCAAAGTAAAAAAATAAAATACTCTAAAAAATATATGGGCCAGGCATGGTGGCAGGCACCTGTCTTACTGACTACCAAAGAGGCTGAGGCAGGAGGATTGTTTGAGCCCAGGAATTCAAGGCTGCAGTAAGCTATGATCATGTAACTGCTCACTAGCCTGTGTGACAGAGCAAGGTGCTGTCTTAAAAAAATTTTTTTATTAAAACTAAAGTGTTCAATTGTGTTGTATGCTGCTGCACAGTCAAATAGAGGCTCTAAAGAATCCACCTTAAGATAGAACATCAGAGACCATAGCAAGAGCAGTTTGATTTGAGAGTGGAGGCAGAGACCAGAGCTGAGTAGGCTGAGGATGAAACTTGTGACACGTGGAGATGGCAGGTGTAGTCACCTTGGTTTGGAGGTTTAGCTATGAAGGGGAGAGAAGAAGGGCCCGCAGAAGAAGGGAAATTATAGTGAAAGATCTGGAAACAATTACATATACCTGGGAATGTTTGAAAAACAGAAATAGGGAAAGTCTTGGATAAGTTCTGTCTTCGGATATTTGAAAAGTTCTGTCTTTGAATATTTGAAAATCTTTCAAGACAAAGAGATGCTTTATTCTTTATTTTTAGTGGGAAGAACCAGAACCAATGTTTATAGAATGGATTTTAACTCAACACTAAAGAACATTTGAAGCCCAGTGTGGTGGCAGGCATCTGTAGTCCCAGCTACTCAAGAGGCTGAGGCAGGAGGAGCCCCTGGGCCCAGAAGTTTAAGTCCAGCCTAGACAACAAAGTGAGACCCCCATCTCTAAAGACGGAAAGAAAGAAAATATTTGAGCTGTCTAACAGTGGAATCGTCAGTTCCCTTGTGAAAAGTGAGCCTCTTGTCACAAAAAGTGGAGAACACAAGGCTGGAAATTCAGCTGTACAGCAAATTCCTGGAAGTGACTCCTCCGTGGACTTAAGAATGCGGATAGGTGGGCCTCCCACACCCACCAGGCACCCACTGCATTCTCAGCCTATTGTTCTATGACTTTAGGAAGTAATGAGCCCTTTCGAGTATAGAAGGAAATTACCAGTTCTTGGTGTTCTAGATCTCACTTTTCAGTGTTTTGCCTGCCCACTTGTAGAAATTAAGGAAGAAAAGACTCAGTACTCACTGGTACATTTTAGTAGGTTTCTTTGTTGTGTTTATTGTGACTGATTTCATATTTGTCATGATCAGTATCTCATTTAGTTCCTTAAATACTGTTCTAAGTTTGGTTCTCGTGTCCGGAGGTGGGTACATTTCTCTTCGTCTACCACATCAATGCAAGGTATATTCACAACACCTCATTATTGGGAACACTGAGCAAGCATGCAGAAAGGGCTGCTTTCACCTTGCAGAATCCTGTTTGCATTAGGCTTGACTTCCTTAGACATTGACACAGGGTCACTGACTGTACAGTAACTGGGGTCAGCTCAGTCATTTTGCGTTTACTTGAGGTCAACCCAGGTCTCAAGATTTCACCACAGAGATTATTCTTGAGGTGATCTATAAACCATCCCTTCCTTAGCTTGGTCTAAATAAGTCCTACCCCTACCCCTTATCTAATGAAATTAGTGTTCATTTTTAGTGTAGTTGAAAGCAATTATTTTAACTCTTCTCTGTAGATGTCCTCAGATACTGGTTCTCCAGGCCATGGACTTATCTCTGCAAAGCTCACCACTCTTGTCTCTCAAGAGCTAAGTTAACATTCTGGAGTGCCACATACTCAGAAGCACAGACTTGCCCAGAAATATTCATAGACTCCCTCTTACTCAGATAACAAATACACAACTCCTTAGTTTGAGCATTTAGGGCCTCCTGCCAATAAGTTCATGTTCCTGTCTTGCAGAGCTCTGTGCAACTGCTGTTTCTGTGTTGCCCTTAGGGTCCTGAGGGCCTTGCCTAGAATAATCCTCATGTAATTCCTCTGACAGGAAAGCTGTGCTTTCTTCCATGGCTGTATTCTAAATAACAAAGGCATGATACTACACATAGAGTAGGAATTTGAACACCAAACTGGAATTCTGTGTCCCTGTCTTATTTGACAAAAGTGCACATTATTGGGGAGATGGGGGCGGCATTTTAAAAGGAGCTTGGTATAGCATTAGTAATCGTTAAAAGAAAAGAAAATAGCCTCATCTGTGGCAGTACAGTAGTTTGTTTCTGTGCACACACATCTGAAATACCATTTGTGTAGAGAGAGAGCGAGCAAGCGAGGGCGCAGCCTGACATTAACAAGGGAGGAGGCGGACAATGAGTACATTAGCGGTTGTTGCACTTTCTGTTTTCTTTATATCCTTTATCTTCAAGTTGCAACCTCCCCCTCATCTAGTTCCTTTAAAAATGTGATACTTAGTGAGTTTTCTTTATATGCCTCTGCCAAGACATTATTGAAGCTTCTTTTTTCCCTCACTGCAACAAAAGGCAGAGAATGATGTTTTGAGTTTTTGAGAGGCACGGCTACTATAACTGTCCAGCAGAGGCATAACTAAGAATTGGGTTTTCATATTCTGAAAATGAACACTTGAAGTTAAACGTCTTCTGATAATATATCATCTCTAAAAATATATTTTTTAAATCCAAGTATTTCTTTAATAGTTTTACCAAGAAAAAATAGAAGTGGTTTTGGTTATGAAAAACTGAATGATATTTTGATGATGTTGTAAAACATCCAGTATATCCCACTTTATTACAATTAACTTTTTTCTACACTATTCAAATGAGGAGTAGAAAGGTAATTTTTTTCAAAATATCCAGAGACAGGTTGTGAAAGGAATAACAGAATTTAAGCCTTTTAACATGTATGTAAAAGACAGTTTTTGCATCATGAAGACAGTTTTCTAAATTCACTACAATATTTTGGGGAGTAATTCTTTGAGTGGTTAGATATTTTAAGTGCATTTGAGAAACAAAATTTAGTAATCAATATATTTAAAATTTATATTATTCTTCCCTATATTTGAATAATTTGCCCAAAATGCAATCTATTCATATTGGATTTTGCCTGTTCAGATCTAAGTGGGAATCAGTAGTTTCTTTGTTCGTCGCCATGGAAACCAGTCAGCCAATCTGAATGGCTCTTAGATCATACAGAACGATGCAATGCTCCCTGCTCTCAGTGAAAGTTCCTCACTGAGTAAGTGGGGCTGACTCTTCCCTGCCTCTGGCTCTTGCCTCCCAGTGCCATGCAGGTGCAGGATGCAACTAGGCGGCCCTCAGCCGTGCACTTCCTCAGCTCCTTTCTCCAGGGCCGCCGGCACTCCACCTCAGACCCAATACTGCGGCTGCAGCAGGCCCGGCGGGGCTCTGGCTTGGGCTCCGGCTCTGCCACGAAGCTTCTGTCCTCGTCCTCTCTCCAGGTGATGGTAGCTGTTTCCTCAGTCAACCATGCAGAGGGAAACCCAACTTTCCCCGAAAGAAAAAGTAAAGGTCTCTTTCTTCTTATAGATTGCCATACCTTTGTATGTAAGTTTGAGGAATGGGAATCGGCTGTGTTGTGCTTATACCTTTTTAAATATTGGCAGTTTATTCTATACTATACTTTTTGCTGTCTGTTATGCTAAGTATTTTAGTGAATATATAAGAGGATATAAAATGATCAAATGTTTTGTGTTTTTTAATTTAAAATATAGGTTTGAACAAAACTCATTCTCTTGTAAAACATCTGCTTTTACAGTTTCTTCCTCCTAATTGCCAGTATGTATGGAGATTATTACATGTGAAAGCTGTTTTACGTTAAGAGATACACGTCACTTTGATGGGGAAACAGTTTTGTTTTCTTGACAAGATGAAGGCGATTTTGCACTGGCTTGTCATCTGCCATCCTGAGATAAAACGGAGGCTGTTTCCCATGTTACAATTTCATTTGGAGAGTGCAATTTTGAATTTTCCTTTCCTTACATGTTCTAGGAAATTTAGAACGTCCAACACCAAAGTACACAAAAGTAGGAGAGCGTTTACGGCATGTCATTCCTGGACACATGGCGTGTTCCATGGCGTGTGGTGGTAGAGCTTGCAAGTATGAGAATCCAGCCCGCTGGAGTGAGCAGGAACAAGCCATTAAAGGGGTTTACTCATCCTGGTGAGTGATCCTGTTGGTCTTTCATAGCTCTGTTGGATACAGGAAAGACGCTCTGTGTGAGCCAGGAGCCCTGAAGTGTGGGAAGAGCAGTGTGGGACTTTGAAGTCAGGACTTCACTTTGCCAGTCAAGTCTGGCTTTGCCCTAGCTGTGTGTTCTTGGCCTGTTGACCCTTGGTTTCTTTATCTGTAAGGTGGAAATAATAAAACCAAAACCATAGGGATTTTCTTAAGTAAGTGAAATGATATATATAAAGTATATTAAGAAATGGATAATCAGATAGCGCTTAAATTTCAGAAATGTTTAGAAATAATAAAACTGTTCAGCTATAAATTTGAGAAAATTATGAGATACATGTGGAATTTTTCAGTTTCATGCAAGTAAGCTTTAGCTTTTATGTTATTCCTATATTCTATATGAAAAGTCACATTTTCATACAAATACCCTTCAGTCTACCCTAATAAAAGTGGTACAAGTTGTCAGCTCGGTAGAAAACCGAAGATATTTGCTTTTTTTATGGTGTGTAAGTGCAATTAATATTGTTCTTTAATCATACTGCTTTTTAATAAACAGTAAACTAGTCAAATACACCTTTTTGATGTAACATCTGAAAAATTCTGATAAATCACATTTGAAGCATACTTAGAAGAATTCACTGTTAATTCTAATAGTGAATTATTTTATTTATCAAGAACCCATTTTTAAATTAGATATTTGTCAAGTGGCTTATCCAGCTTACAACCTGTACTTTTTCATATTGGATTTGCTCAGTACATCTGTAGTGATATAGTCTGGGGTCCACTGTCATTATTGTTCACTACAGGTCATATTCTGGTCCATCACTATCATACTAATAGTATGAAGAAGGAAACATTCATAGTCCAACAAGAAAATTTCTAATAATGTAGCTTAGGTCATTTGTGTATTTTTGCTTTATTGCTGCCTAAATCCTGTGAGTCTTTTTCATCTGGGTCCCATGTTAAACCACATGTCTTCTTTCAGAGGGAAAGGTGTCATTTTGGATCCTGTCCTGCCAGTCTGTGTTATTCCCCTGAGATTCATATGACCCACAACTTCCAACGCACTTACCTTATATATCTCATTAGGCCACTGATGAGAAATTTGAACAGAACAGAGTGAAGCCAGAGCCCAGAGGCCTGACAAGAGTAATAGTCATTTATTGAGCGTCTGCCCATTCATTCATTCAGTAAATATCCATTTGGCTGTAGGCCAGTCAGTGTGCTAGATGCTTTCATACTAATATCTTTTATCGTCGTAAAACTCTTGTGAGCTGTTAATGCCATTTTATCGATGAAAGAATTGAGTTCCAGAGAGACCAAGTAATTTGCCACCAAGCTAGAAAGTAGAAAAGCCAGCATTTGAAACCAAGCCCGACTGACTCTGGAACCCATAATTGTCGCCAAATTACAGTAACTCAGTATTTATTCATAACTGCATGTCAGGATTTGTGCCAAAGGCTTTACATCCACATCATACTGAATTCTCACACCAACCCTGTGAGACAGGCATTATTATCCCCATTTAACACCTTAGGTAACTAAGATTCAAATAGTTGAATAACTAAAAATATCTCCCAGTTGTCCCTTCTCATATAAGTCACTACCCATTGAGTGACAATCCAGACTGTTACCTTCGCCACCAGCTGGGTTTTCTCCATCGTGTCCACTAGAATCTCTTGAGAGTCCTTGAAAATACTTTGCTGGAATCCACAAATAATTTATGTCCTGGAATTTTTTCCAGGGATTTAAGAAGCTAGAGTTTCTTAGAGCTCTAATCAGCCAAAATTGAAGCCGGATTTGTATAAGAATATTCTTACATGGGTACACCAAAATCTCAGAATTCACCACTAAAGAACTCATCTATGTAACCTGAAATCATCTGTACCCCAAAAACTATCAAAATTTTAAAAATTAACCTAAAGAGAAAAAAAGCAAAGTATCTAACAGTGCCTTTACTACACTACCTTTTGTACAAAAAAAAAAGCAGAGAAATAAGAATAAATGCTCATATTTGCTTGTATTTGCAAAAAGAAACACTAAGATGATAAACATGAAGTTAATACAAATGACTACATATGGGGAACAAACTGAATGGAGTGGATGAAAACAGGTAAGAGCAAACATTTTAGTGCATATTTTTGTGTATTGTTTTGATTTTATTGAACCATGAAACTGTATTACCTGTTCAAATAAAATTTATACACAAAAAAAGAATATTCTAAAAGAGTTGTTGAAATCATAGAAAAAAATCATCGCTCAGGGCTGGAACATCTCTTTGGGCTGGAACCTCCTAGGTTGCAGCACATCTCACCAGTCCCTCCACCCATTTGCAGGGTCACTGATAATATACTGGCCATGGCCCGCCCATCCTCTGAGCTCCTGGAGAAGTACCACATCATTGATCAGTTCCTCAGGTAAATGCTGTATTGTTCACACACGAGTGAGGAAACTCATGTGTTTGTTCTTTCATTGCCTTTGTTTTCAAGTGAAAAAGTGCTTTCATTTTAACCATAGGCAGTGAAGGGTGTATTTCAAATGAGAAATTAAGATTTTGAGGGTAATTAATAATGTTGATTAATGCCAAAAAAGGTTATTTTTTTTTAAATGCTGGTTCCCAACATGACTGACTGCCCTTTTTCCTTTAAGCCATGGCATAAAAACAATAATCAACCTCCAGCGCCCTGGTGAGCATGCTAGCTGTGGGAACCCTCTGGAACAAGAAAGTGGCTTCACATACCTTCCTGAGGCTTTCATGGAGGCTGGCAGTAAGTTCCTCCCACCCTCCTCTCATGAATTATCAAGGGCAGCACTCAGAGGCTTTTCTCTGCTGGGGTCTTAAATTGAAAAGGTGATGGAAATAAATACCTCCTGCATAGTAGTAAGGATCAGAAAAAAATGAGCTACCATTCTCTTTGGTATTGCTGTTGGAAGTATAGGATTTCTTTGTTCCTGTAAGAGGGATGTTGGGAGGAGACCCCATAGTAATAATGATTAACATTTAATTAATGCCAGCCACTGTTATCTCATTTAACCCCTAAAGCAGTTGTGTAACAAAGTTGTTGTTATTTCTATTTTACACATGAAGCCACATGGGGCTTAGAGAATTACCTACTTGCCTAAGATCACACAGCTTAGAAATGGTAGTCAGGTTTGGAACCTGGACATGCTCCAGGTTTACTGCTGTCCAGCCCTGCTCCCAAAATGACGCCCAGGAATTCTACTTCTAACAATTTCAAAGCCACCTCAATCACAGGAGCTTTGGGATGAAATACATTCAACATGTGTCCTTCAAACCAGGCTGGAAAGGATAAACAATCTTGGAACTTGTTTTAAAGACGCTTATTTACACTGGATAGAAAACCTATATATACTGTCTTAAGCTATTTATCAGTCATTAAGACACATTTCCCTGCTTAAACAAGAGTGTATGCTTTCCCTCCATAGCTGAGTAACTAGAGCATGAATCACTGACTTTATTAATTTGTAATTCTAATTCACCATAATTCTTTCTGGCTGAGTTTCTGCAGGAAATGTCTTCAGTAATATAAAATATGCTTTGTGAGTAAATGTGAACAGTAAAGTTACTGGGAATGTAAAATCCCTCTTATTTTATGCAGTGTATGCACTGAGATCTACATGCCTCAGTGTAGATCTGTGTACTTTTCATTAGTGTATGTAATTTCGTTAATTTCCTGTATGTTGATTTTCTTTTCCTTTTCTTTTTTCTTAGTTTATTTCTACAATTTCGGGTGGAAGGATTATGGTGTAGCATCTCTTACAACTATCCTAGATATGGTGAAGGTGATGACATTTGCCTTACAGGAAGGAAAAGTAGCTATCCATTGTCATGCAGGGCTTGGTCGAACAGGTAAGTCCTAAGAGGTGGTTTATTGCCTTGTAGGCGTATTTAAACATAAAAGGAATAAGATTTCCTAATTTGAGGAAAAATGTTTCTCAGAATCTTGTCAAAGCTTTGGAGTCAGGTGGAAGAAGGGAATAAGTTCTGGTGTTCTGTACCACTGTAGGGTGTCTATAGTTAAAAATCATATATAGTTTCAAATAGCTAGAAGGAGGATATTGAATGTTCCCAGCACAAATACATGATAAATGTTGGGGATTATGCATATACTAAATACACTGATCTGGTCGCTATACATCATATGTATTAAAACATCACTATATACCCCATAGATATGTATAATTATTATGTCAACTTTAAAAACTAAATCAAAAATAATTTTAAGGTATTTGAAATACCATAAACAGATAGTTACAATGACCATATGTATGTCATTTTAAAGTCTTTAGCAACAATGTGAGTTGGAGAAACTGCAATTTGAGAGAAGTAATTGGCTACATTTAGTAAGTGCCAGGGCCAAGCTTTAAATCCGTGGTTGTCTGACTCCAGAGTTCATGTGCTTTCCATTTTTGGAGGTATAAGGGTTTTGTTTGTGAAGAAGAGTCTATCTGTGCCTAGAATTCTATTAAAAAGTCAGTGATTTGACTTAAAACATTCAGCTCAATTTCATTACAGTGCTGATATTAGGGCAAAAATAAAGGCTGTAGGGCTGAAATTTTCATCGTCATCTGATCCAACCACATGCAGCTCAACTCTGTCCACAGTATACCCAGTGTACCTGTGCTCCTGCCAGGGGTCTGCCGCATACCTGGAAGCGTGCTCAGGGGAGGAGACTCAGCTCTGCTTGAGATTGGTAGCTCTTAGGATCAAGCCAAAATCTCACTGTTTGTAGACATTGACATGATCGCTCTGCAGACATTTTACATTTATACTAAGATCTTCTGTGTCCTAGTGAGAAAGATATGTTATTCCCGACTGTGAACTGGAGAGCATGCAGTTTTCAGAGGTTCTGATTTTCATATGTAACAAGATGTTCACAAACTTGGGGATCACACAGGTGTATTTGATTTGCCTTTTACTTTAATATTGACTGTTACATTTGAATTAATTTATTATTACCTTTTCACTAGTAATTATTACCTTTTAACTAGTAATAATCTTACTAGTTATTCCTTTTAATTAGATGTTAATGAGAGTACATAATGTTTATACCATTAAGGCTGGCTTCCTTAAGATTGCTTAATTTTCCATAATTGCTTATGGAAAAATAGACTTATATCATGGTCTGAAGAAAAACACATATTAATATAGGCACAAATCTGGAAAAAGAATTGCCAGGAGGAAAAGTAGGCTGTGAATATGAATAATCCCCAAAGAAGAAACTGCCATGGTAGGGAGAGTGCCAAGCTGGGATGTGCCAGCAGTTGATGGCAAAGATGGCAGGGTGAGAGGTTCCAAGCACAAAGTGTATGGATTGACTGGATGGAAATTCTCAAGAGCTGTTCAGAGTGGAAAATAGAAACAGGATTTGCTTTCTTCTGTTGGAGTTGAGTAGAACAAGGATAGATGGGCCAGATGATCAGTTTCCCTTCCCTCCTGCACACTTACTCACCTGCATTGTGCTTGTGCTGGCACAGCTCTGGGCTACTGAGATGACTCAGTCATGGGGAGGGGGTGCCACGTAGACATTTAATAAAGTTCTGCGCAGTAAGGAACATGCAATAATAACACCTCTACAAAAAGTCACAAAGTTATCATCATAATTGTCCTTAAAATGTGTCTCTATGTATTTGATTTCTTAATGCATATTCAAATTGTAAATCATCAAAGAGCGATAAATAAAATAAAAATGTAAATTTTTCTCATATCAGTCTTCTCTTCTTCACTATTTAGGTGTCTTAATAGCCTGTTACTTAGTTTTTGCAACAAGAATGACTGCTGACCAAGCAATTATATTTGTGCGGGCAAAGCGACCCAATTCCATACAAACCAGAGGGCAGCTCCTCTGTGTAAGGGAATTTACTCAGTTTCTAACTCCTCTCCGCAATATATTCTCTTGCTGTGATCCCAAAGCACATGCTGTCACCTTAGCTCAATATCTAATTCGCCAGCGTCATCTGCTTCATGGTTATGAGGCACGACTTCTGAAACATGTGCCAAAAATTATCCACCTAGTTTGCAAATTGCTTCTGGACTTAGCGGAAAACAGGCCAGTGATGATGAAGGACGAGTCCGAAGGACCTGGTCTCTCTGCTGAAATAGAAAAGACCATGTCTGAGATGGTCACCATGCAGCTGGATAAAGAATTACTGAGGAATGACAGTGATGTGTCCAACCCGCCTAACCCCACTGCAGTGGCAGCAGATTTTGACAATCGAGGCATGATTTTCTCCAATGAGCAAGAGTTTGACCCTCTTTGGAAAAGGCGGAATGTTGAGTACCTTCAACCCCTTTCTCATCTGAAAAGGCGGCTCAGCTACAGTGACTCAGATTTAAAGAGGGCCGAGAACCTCCTGGAGGAAGGGGAGCCTCCACAGACAGTGCCTGTCCAGGTCTTGGTTGGCCACAACCCCAGGCAGCAGAAGCGCATAAGCCATTGTTACATCCCACAGTCTCCAGAACCAGACTTACATAAGGAAGCCTTGGTTCGCAGCACACTTTCTTTCTGGAGTCAGTCTAAGTTTGGAGGGCTGGAAGGGCTCAAAGATAATGGCTCACCAATTTTCCATGGACGGATCATTCCAAAGGAAGCACAGCAGAGTAGAGCTTTCTCTGCAGATGTTTCAGGCCCACACAGCCCTGGGGAACCAGTTTCACCCAACTTTGCAAATGTCCGTAAGGATCCAAACCCTACTCACCAGCAAGTGTCTCACTGTCAGTGTAAAACTCATGGTGTTGGGAGCCCTGGGTCTGTCAGGCAGAACAGCAGGACACCCCAAAGACCTCTGGACTGTGGCTGCAGTCTGAAAGCACAGTTCTTGGTTGAACATGAAACCCAGGACAGTAAAGATCTGGCTGAAGCAGCTTCACACTCTACATTACAGTCTGAATTGAGTGCTGAGGCAAGAAGAATACTGGCGGCCAAAGCTCTAGCAAATTTAAATGAATCTGTAGAAAAGGAGGAACTAAAAAGGAAGGTAGAAATGTGGCAGGTATTATTAGTACTTTATTTAATTATAGATATGTTGGAAATATGTCAGGGCAAAAGTGTAATACATTTTCCCAAACTTATTTATTATAGAAATGTGAAGATACGTTTGCATAATACTTAACTTTCAAACTTCAGGTTTCTCATCTCTGATGCAAACCTGATGTTTTAGAAAAAACACAGGATGTTTGTGTGGTTTCATTTAAATCTGCATATGCAAGAAAGCACTTGGTACGATGCTTGACCCACACAAGGCATTGATATTAGTAGCTTCTTTCTTTCTTCCTGGGTCTATGGGGGCAACTGGCCCACAGCAGACAGCATTCGAAACTGACTTGAAGCATCTTTAACCTGAGATCTGGCAGAGGGAACCATACTTTGAGAACCACTGACCTACAGACATAAATAAAATAGTTATTTTCCAAAGCTCATCAATACTAGTGCTGAGCAAGGTCAGAAAAGTGAGGCTGTCTCCTTGGCATCCCCTCCTTCAGACTTGCCAATCCCGCTCTAATAGGGCAACTATGGGAAATCAGGAGAGCAAGTGGGTGGAACCACAGATTCCTACGTGCCATTCACTTTGGCTGAGATGAGGTCTTTGGGGTCCATTTCTTAGCTTTTACTTCAATTAGAATGTAAATTTTTAACCCTTTTTTGTGTTGTGCTTTTACTAGGATACAGTCATAAGTCAGCCATACTTTCTTTGCCCTGAATGAGCGAGCACCTGTTCTCGAGAAAAGATAGGCCTTATAAACCTAGCTATCAGAAACAGCTAAACTAACCCAAAAGGAGGCTGACTTGGACTGTCGTGAATCACCAAAATCTTGACTTTTGAGACCATAACCTACTGTGAATTATTTTAATAGCTCGCTTTCATAGTCTGCCATTGATTAAACAAGGCATATACAATTTCTGAGTGCCAGTATCTCTTCAGGTGCAGAGGCATGAAAAATAAGTTTGGAGCTTCACACTAACTTACAACTATATAATGGGAGGAGAGAACTTTTGGTAAAAATTTTATTCTTCAGAATTGTGTTTTGCCTATCCAATAGTTAAATGTATTGCTTTCTTCCAAAATGACTTGTTTTCTTTATTTTCTGCTCCAAACTGAAAAAGTCTTTCATTCAGTCAGCAAATGTTTCCTGGGCATTACTGTGTGTTAAGAGTTAGCAAGCAAGAGAGTCTTCTATTTTAGATGAAAATCTCGCACCCTCACTCCTGGGTCAGCCCCAGTGGCTGTGCGAGCTCTGCCTGTGGTGATGAAGTGTTCAGGACTTGGTTTGGGCCAGACTGTACGTAGAGTATATGAAAGCATTTTCTGGAGGTGAACACAGACCTTTAATGAGGATAGTTTTGTGTTTTTTTTTCCTTTCTAGATTTTATTTTAGGACTTTTAGTCATCAAAAAATCAGCTGAATTCTGGAAAAGAATAAAATGAACATTATTTGAATAGTATAATGCCATCCATGCCTGTACTAGACCATTTCACATATATTATTTCATGTGATTTTTCACAGTTATCATAGAACATATCTGTGAGGCAGATGATACTATTTCTACAGTCTTTGTTAATCTTATGAATTCAGTGTCACAGATGAGGATGCTAAAGGTCACGAAGGTTAGAGGGTAAGTGACTTGCTCAGGGTCACATGGCGTGCATGTGGCAGAGTCAGGGTACAGCTCATGTGTTTAATACTTTCCATTATCCCAGGATTCTTGGCTAACCTCACTGGAAAGCCTCAGGAAACATCATGATAAGATAGTCATTTTACTAAGAGGGTTTTTGAGTAGTGTCAGTTCTGCCCAGATTGTCTGCTTCATAAGATTGAATCAAGAGCTACTTTGTTTTATACATGATCTATGGAATAGGAAGGACTGTCAATAACAATGTATTGGCGTATTCATAAGATAATAAAAACAAACCCAGTACCAGAGGGCCCTTGTGGTGTAACAGAAACAGCACAGACTCTGGAGTAAGACAGAACTGGGTATGAACACCCCCTTTGCCATTTTCTAGCTTTTGGCTCGTAGGTGAGTTATTTCATCTTTCTTGAGCCCCAATGCATTTACCGGTGAGGAAGCTCCCTGCTGGGTGCCGTTTGAGAGTTAGAGATAAGACAGGCATTACAGTTTCAGTCCCACTGTGTGCATGTAGTAAATATTGGATAGGTGAATGAACGAGTGAATGGTAGCAATTATTACACTTACTTCTATTGTAAAAATGTATTTGACTCACTGAAACATAAATCTGAACCCTATCAGAAATTCATTAAAATCCTTATCTCACTTTTCCTTTGCTCTCTGTGAGGTAAAGTTTTAAAATCTCATGCTTAAATTTTCTCTAAGCAATTGGAGTATCAGAAAAACTTTCCAGTTATTTTCCCTATGTCAGATTTCAGGCTTATTGTTAAATCCTACATAGGATTCTAAAAAGATATTTCAAAGAAGTACATATGCCCCATTTACCAACTTTCAAGCACCTTCATTTTATTTTTGCAGACTTCGAAGCTCAGTCAAAGCCTTTCCTTAGACCCCAGGTTAATGTATAAATGTTCCCTTATTTCTACTTTTTTGTCTACCATCTACTTTATTGCAAAAAATAGTTCTGTTTTGTTCACCAGAAGCCTGAAAAGGAAGGCTCTTCTGAACTGTTTCTGTGGTTTCTGAATAAAGTAGAGAACTTGGATTAACTAAGCCCTTTCTCTGTGCTATAAGCTTTAACCGACCTTATCTCAGTCAGTCAGCCCAACAACTTGTGAGGCAAGGGATGAGTTTCATAGAGAGAAACTGAGGCTCACAGAATTCAATGTCTTAGTCCAGTGTCCAGAAGTAGAGAGGCTGGGAGGGGTCCCCGTTCTGCACCCGAGAGCCTGAGTCTTTCACTCTCGTGGGCAGTGCGAGAATCATGCAGTGTCAACTGGTGCACCTCTCTCTCCTCTCCCTGTCTCTATCTCTGTTTGTCTGTCTCTTTCTCTTCCTTTTTAGAAAGAGCTTAATTCCCGAGATGGAGCTTGGGAAAGAATATGTGGCGAGAGGGACCCTTTCATCCTATGCAGCTTGATGTGGTCTTGGGTGGAGCAACTGAAGGAGCCTGTAATCACCAAAGAGGATGTGGACATGTTGGTTGACAGGCGAGCAGATGCCGCAGAAGCACTGTTTTTATTAGAGAAGGTAAAGTGGCTGTAGGACCAGTTAATGACTGTAACTGAAGCCCTTAGTTTTTCACGCAGAAAAAAAAATCCATTATAAAAAAGGGAATTCATACAGAACCCCAAATCTAAGTCTAGATTTAATAGTTTTTCTAAGAGAAGAGAAGAAACTGATACCCAGTGTAAACGCTTAGAAAATACAAAAATAAAAAATAAAAAGGAGAACTATCCATAGTCCTGGGAGAGGCACTGCAAACATTTTCAAATCTTTTAAACTTATCAATATGTATATTAACTTGTTAAAAATCATTTTAACATGTAAGTTTGTTTCATTTTTGCTTAAAGTTATAGCTGTTTTCCCACAAATAACACAAGCTTTTCATAAATATTGACTGTAACAGATATGATGCTATAACACGAGACTGTGCCATAATTAACCACTTTTTCATTGTTGGGTGTTTGTTTCTACTTATTTGCTGTGAGCATGCATATGAGAAAAATTATGAAGTAGGTTGGGATATGCACTCATTCGTATTTTTAAAAAGGGGTAGGTGTCACACATACATGTATATGTAATTTGTATGTGTAAAATACAGATGTTTTCTATATTTTATGTATAAAATATATATGTTTAAAATGGAGAAAATATGTATATATGTATAAAATATAGAAGGAGAAATAAGAAACTGGTAATAGTGATTACCTTTAGGAAAAGATATTAGAAGACAATGGATCTAGGAAACAGGAGAAATTGTATGAATCTTTTTATACAATTTATCATTTTTATCCATACAGTGATACTAAATTTTCAGTTTAAAATAGGCTTTGTTTTTGTTTTGGTTTGGTTTTTTTTGAGACAGTTTCGCTCTTGTTGCCCAGGCTGGAGTGCAATGGCACGATCTCAGCCCACCGCAACCTCTGCCCCCTCGGTTCAAGCGATTCTCCCGCCTAGCCTCCCAAGTAGCTGGGATTACAGGCATGTGCCACCATGCCCGGCTAATTTTGTAATTTTAGTAGACAGGATTTCTCCATGTTGGTCAGACTGGTCTCAAACTCCCAACCTCATGTGATCCGCCCACCTCGGCCTCCCAAAGTGCTGAGATTACAGGCGTGAGCCACCGTACCAGGCCTGTTTTTGTTTTAAGAAACAATGTTATCGAATAACCAACCTTGAGTTACCTACTATGCTGCATGTAAACATCTCCTCAGTTTCTAAATTTCACTAAAAATCTTCTGCTGTTACTACACAGACACACACACACATGGACACATATGGATGGATGCACACACAGACATACAGATACATGCGCTCACACACATGTACACAGATACAATACACAATACACAGACATGTGCGTGCCTGCACACACAGACACTCACACACCACAGTTACCCAATACACATCTTTTAAGAAATAATTTTTCCTGTATCTGAAGTCCTTTTCTTAGGATATTTTCTCAGCAATTAAATCACAAACATAAAACAGGAGATGATGAGAAGGGAGATTAATGTTTGGTAGGTGACTGGGCCAAGCCCTTCAGGACATAATTTGCATTTTCTCTTCTGTTTATCTCAATACCCCTTAGAGGTAGAGGCCCGTATCACAGACAAAGAAAGCTGAGGTTGCATGCCCAAGGTTGGCACCACATGTCAGAGCAGAATTCAAGCTCAGACCACTCTGGCACAAAGCCCATGTGCTTTCTATTACATAAGGCTGCCTGTTTTATACTATTTCACCCTCACCCCATGTATAGGGCATTTATATTGCTTCACGTTTTTTACTTTCATAGGCATCATTGTAATGATAATTTGTGCTTGCAGGTGTTTCTTTATTATAGATTATGCTCTTGTAGGTTTTCAGAATTGAAATTAGTGGGTCTCTGTACATTACATCTTGGATATGTATTGCTGAAGGTGATGGAATTTCTCCTTTGCTAAGGTGAACAGCCCCCAGGAGTGAAGTCAGTGGGCGCATTTTTAAGTATCTTACCCCCTTAGGTTGGAGGCTAAGCACTTAAGCACTGCATTGCTCCTGGGGGACTGGGGTTGCCCTTGTCCTTTTCTTTGTCTACCCCCTCCCTCCATATCATCTGCAGTGGCTGGGTACCCAGATCCTGACCACTCAGTGCCCAGTTAGTTAGTCCATGTATCTCTATGACATGTCGCCATCTACTAGACAACTGACATGATTATATCCAGAAACAACAAGAATGGGAAAATCTGTTCAATTCACGGCAAGAGAAACACTTGGTTTAAAATTGCACTGATCTTCAAATTTAGTTTTACTTTGTGAAATAGCTAGCCAGCTTTGATATTATCTCCTGAAAACTTTTCAAATTATATTAACACATAATAATAAACATTTGTTGATGTTTAGATATTTTGTTAGATATTTTGGCATTTGACATTACGAGTACTTGGTCACAAACCAATTGTTGACTCTAAGATAGTTTTGAATCGATTTATTGAGGCGTTTTTTGAACACATTTTTAAAATTTTGATTTCTACAAAAACAGGGACAGCACCAGACTATTCTCTGCGTGTTGCACTGCATAGTGAACCTGCAGACAATTCCCGTGGATGTGGAGGAAGCTTTCCTTGCCCATGCCATTAAGGCGTTCACTAAGGTGGGTCACACTCTTCTTTCCCCTCTCTGAACCACAGATCAGCATCATTTTTGTAAATCAGAATCCAGAGGTCACCATCCTCCTCTAAAATAAAACATGTATGTGTACGTTTTCCCTTCATGGAAATCTGTTTGACATTTCTTCTAAGTAGTTGCAGAGTTTTAACCAAAAAAAAAAAAAGTTTCCAAACAATGATCTTAGGAAAAACTGAACTGTGGGTTTTTTGAAGGAGAATGTTGGAACAAAGAGCTTTTATATAAAGGAAAGAGAGAAATAACTGAGTATTGAATACATATTTTTAGATCATGTGCCTAATCAGAGTCAGAGAATCTTTGCTTGTCGAGCCAGTTCTACCTTGGGTTTAAGTAAGAAACCATTTATTGAAAAGTAAACATCCTGGCCGGGCGCGGTGGCTCAAGCCTGTAATCCCAGCACTTTGGGAGGCCGAGACGGATGGATCATGAGGTCAGGAGATCGAGACCATCCTGGCTAACACGGTGAAACCCCGTCTCTACTAAGAAATACAAAAAAACTAGCCGGGTGAGGTGGCGGGTGCCTGTGGTCCCAGCTACTCAGGAGGCTGAGGCAGGAGAATGGCGAGAACCCGGGAGGCGGAGCTTGCAGTGAGCTGAGGTCCGGCCACTGCACTCCAGCCCGGGCGACAGAGCGAGACTCCGTCTCAAAAAAAAAAAAAAAGTAAAGTAAACATCCCACATTGCTGATTCAGTACTGAGTCCTGGTTGGCAAATCCTAAGGAAAGAGTTAAAAAAAAAACAAACAGGTTTTATTTCTAAAAGCCCATCCTTTTGGATGCAGCAGTTTTTCCTGGCTGAAGAAAGAAGCAGCCAGGTTCTTACCGAGAGAAAAGTTTCCCCTTACCCCATCAACTATAATTTGTTTATTACTTCTCATTGATATGAAAGTATCTATAATTTGTTTGTTACGTCTCATTGATATGAAAGTGTCGTTAAAGAACCCAGCTTTTGAATGACAACATCTGTGGTAACATTAATAAGTTATTAATTATACTCATTCACAAGTTGTGAAGATTCTTCCTTTTTAATATTTGTCCAGTCTGCTTCCCCTCCACTCTTTCCAGAGTGATGTTCTTACTTCAGGCCTTCCTTTTTCCTCATCTGGATTCTATGGCACTAACCACTGACATCTTTTCAATCTGTTCTCAACTGTTTCCAGAGTCAGTAGTCTCAAATCCAAACCACGTGGTCCTTTACATCTGTATTTACATTTTCATAGACTGAAAGGCTACCCTCCATGTGAAGAAGGTTGTAGTTTGGTGTTTAAGAAAGTAAACAGAGCCGGGAATGGTGGCTCATGCCTGTAATCCCAGAACTTTGGGAGGCTGAGGTGAGCAGATTATGAGATCAGGAGATCGAGACCATCCTGGCCAACATGGTGAAACCCCATCTCTACTAAAATACAACAATTTAGCTGGGCGTGGTGGAGGGCGCCTGTAGAATGTTCAAGAATGGCTTGAACCCGAGAGGCGGAGGTTGCAGTGAGCCAAAATCGCGCCACTGCACTCCAGCCTGGCAACAGAGTGAGACTCCATCTCAAAAAATAAAAAAGGTAAACAATTCAGACCATTGTTAATATTAATAAGGAGTTTTTTTGCAAATAGGATATACAGTGTAGTTATAGATAAAATTAAATTCTGAGCTTGACTGAAAAAAAATCTTAAGATTGGTCTCTCTGAAAGCAGTAGGAATTCTTTACAACTTCTGTTGGCCTTTTAAGGGGATATGAAGGAAAAGTTAGAGATAGCAATTGTTCAAAATCCGTCTATAGAAAATGTTAGGAGACAGTTTTCCTTGGGTCTCTCAGGTCTCCTCATAGTCTGATGAGCAGATGCCCTGACCACTGTCTTTGGGGATCAACTCTTCACTAGTGTCTGGAGAGCTCTGCCTGGAGAACAGAAGGCACATGCTCTGACTTCCCGGATAATAAAAATGTTTCCCTTCGGGGCAAAGGTTGGCAGAATTTTTTGCAGCCCCCTTGTGAAACATTAGAGTTTCCTAAGCTTGGGGCTCCTCAGCTATGAGGCAAACCCCGTGCTTGTGCAGCCTCCACCTAGGCCCCTCTGCATTGCCCCCATGAGACTTGGGAGACAAAGAGAACCCATGTGAACATGAAGCACGTGCAGCTGTGAGAAATAAAAGTTGTCTGTCTCTGACCCAGAAATCTCGTATCTTCTACCAGTGTCCGTAACACTGGCAAGCTAACAGGTCAAAGTCAGATCCTTTACAGTTGTTGACAGAGGGAACAACCTTCCTTTTTCAAAATTTATCAGAGGAGAAATTCCAGAAGGAGAGAAGCAGTGATTGTGTGACCCTGATTCTTTCCCAGGGAGTCACACACTATTCTGGGAAGGGGGCTGAGGGTGGGTACTTGCTCTGGTTCTCAGTTCTGCCATCACTCCTAACCCAGAGTATGGTAAACTTGGGTGAAAAAATGCAAATATGTGTAAATAGTGCTCTCCCATCAAGGGGAAAGGAAATTTACCTTTATCAAGGTGGGGTTTGTTTGTTTGTTTGTTTTTTGAGACAGGGTCTCACTCTGTCGCCCAGTCTGGAGTGCAATGGCACAATCTCAGCTCCCTGCATCCTCTGCCTCCTGGGCTCATGCATTTCTCCCACCTCAGCCTCCCAAGTAGCTGGACAACAGGCACGTGCCACCATGCCTGGCTAATTTTTTTTAATTTTTTGTAGAGATGAGGTTTTGCTCTATTGCCCAGGCTGGTCTCGAACTCCTGGGCTCAAGCGACCCTCCCACCTCCGCCTCCCAAAGTGCTGGGATTACAGGCATGAGCCACCACGCCTGACCAGTTGAGGTTTGTATATATGTGCCAAACATATGTTAGACTCACAGATACGCTATCCTATGAAGGTGGGTATTATTATCTCTGTTTTACAAAGGAGGAGATCGAGGTCCAGAGAGGTTGGGTATGAGATGAGGGCACATAGCTAGCAGGTGGGGAGCTGGGCTTCTATTCACGTCACTCTGATTCTGTCCAGAGTGGCCACAGGGCCTTTTAGCAGGACATATACAGCTGATGTGCTGTTTTAATACAGGAAACTTTTCCCTTATACCATCAATAATAGTCTCAAAAAATTCACTTCACACCCACTGTTGACTTGCTTCATGTCTGGGTGTGTATAATTAGACTAAATATCCAGGCACTAGATTTAATTTTGGGGTTTTCATTCATAAGTTTGGTATTGACATGGTTGGCAGTTCTAATATAGTCTTTCAACTAAAATGTGTGAAATTTATTATGTGTATTTTATATAGAGTTTTGTTCGTAAGTCTGTTTTTTTCTCCACCCCCTCCTTCTCTCAAAATAGGAACTAGTTAAAATTCTTGTTACAGTGTCCTGAATATAAATTTCTTTATCACCAGGTTAATTTTGATTCTGAAAATGGACCAATAGTTTACAACACCCTGAAGAAAATATTTAAGCACACGCTGGAAGAAAAAAGAAAAATGACAAAAGATGGCCCTAAGCCTGGCCTCTAGCTTTCCCTCGTGGTGAATATTTCAGACCTAAAGATCCAGATAGTATCTCTGTTCATATGTGAATAAGTCGAAGTTTGTGGGGCTACTTTTTCTCATAGCACTTTATTTTGAATGTCGTTGATTTGTGCTGAGAATGGTTGTCCCTATTTGAACCAATTATTTATTTTTAAATATCCTTGAGCTACATTTTTGTTTTGAAAAATTGCCATAAATTTGGTGCCACTTTCTTTATTTGACTGAGTTAATATTATTGCATTAACATTTTAAGTATATAGTGTTTACATTCTTATTCCTTTTGACGTTTTGGAAATAATCATAACTTGTCTTTCCAAAATAACCATTTTCTTGATGGAACTCTTCCTAGAGTTTTTACCAAATAGCTAACTTCAGTAGTAAAACCTCATTGTGTGTCCATTCCCCCACAAATGAACTAAGAAAGTCACCAAGTGTCTTAAGCTGTTTTATATTTGTTACGAAGAAGGCTATTGCTATAATATTTTTAAAGGGTCTTTTTTAACTTTGAAATTTTTTGTTTTTCCTTTTCTTTTTATAAATGTAACAGAGGGTTTCAAAGCATATTATTTTTCAGAGAGATTTAGTTTTACTTTAATGGCGTGACCGTGAAGTGGTTGGGATTTTTTACTTGTAGAAAGTAGACTTGCTGTTTGTCAGATTTCCAAACAACCTTGCCAGCCTTGGCTGTCAAAAGGAGGCAGGAGCAGTTCTCAACACACCAAGCCTTATTCCCACTCCCTTGGGTTGCTGCTAAGCCAAATAGCATCTTTACAGAGAGGAAGTGGGATCAGAGGCAGGAAGTGTGGGAAGTTGCTAAGAAGCAGGGCTTGCCTCTGTCCTCCCAGGGACTCCACAGGGACATTCGTGCAGGGCAGGGGCTCTGTGCCAGCCCTACTCTGTGAGGTGCCACAGCCACTCTGCAGAGGTGACTCTTGGAGCTGGAGGAAGTCAAGACTGGGCCACTGTTTGTGCTGATGGTGAATTAGCATGAGCAGTGTGGCCCTGGCCCCACACTCCCAAATCTGCCACTCTATAAACCCACTTGCCTCAAGGTTCGATACTTGGCTGCTTTCTTACAATGAGAATTAAGATTTTTAAACTGAAGTTGACCATACAGGTTGCATTAGCCCTAACTGGCTTCATGTAAGAAGGGTGGCTGCCTACACTAGTTCCTTGTAAGCTGAACCATCAATTAGCAGTTGAAGCCATACTTTTATTTAAATTAATATGTGGAGATACCAGAGGCCAAGCCACAGAGAGGATAATAGTTTTTCCCAGCAAAGGTGATATTAATCAGACTAATTTCAAACTAAAGAAGTTACTACCTAAAGACAGAATTCAGGGGAAGCAAGACTCATTTAGAACAAATGAAATTTCTCCAGTCCTACATTTCTGAATTAACCTCTAGCACATCAAAAATATTTCAGTCATTATCAGTCTCACTAACTCTAATGCCAAATGCTAAATGCAGTGTTCTTTCACACTGTTTTAATTTTCTTGGGAAATCAAGTCCAATGGATGTTAATTAAGTGGGTTGCCCATCCTCTTTATGACGGCATTAAGAGAGCACTGTGCTGTCAAGTGCCTGGCCTGGGAAAGAAGGGGAAGAAACAATTGCATTTTATCCAAAGGTACACTATAAAAATACAGTTTTTACCAAAAAAAAAAGATGTTTGTTCTCATCTCAGTTGGCCTCATTTGGGCAAGTGACCCACAGGTCTTTTGGCGAGTTCGCTATTTGCCTGTTGAAATCCTTGTTTCAACTTAGAGAACAGTTATGATGTGACCTTAGCATTGCACGACTAAAATTCTAAGCCTGAAACCTGAAAAAAGAGATATAACAAGGGAAATTAATCAGGCTATATATAAGTATTGTATTTATTTGAATAAAAGCAAAAAGAACAACCCATAATCCTAGTCTTGTACTTCTTTACCTTGATGCTCTAGGACATCTGATGATAAAGACAAGGTTTTGCTCTTAGATTTTCCTGACAGACAGATTGAGTTGTCGGCTGAGTCACTGAGCCAAGCTCTAGTTAGTTCAGACTCCTTCTGTCAGTTCAGCATGACCAAACACTGGGGGGTTGGGATAGGTGAGTTCTAAGAGGAATAGCTGAGGAAAATCTCCAAGCTGACAAGATTCCTACCTTCCCATATTTGGATGAGGAGTTCTTTGTAGCCCAGAGGACAGAAATCTCACCTATTGGGAGAAGTGATAAGGTTGAAAAATTCAGTTCAACAGAAATAGGAAGGTTAAGGGCACACACATATTAAGAACTTACCATGGGCCAGCCATATCCATTACCTCGCTGAATTATCTTGACAGAGAGAAGTCTTTTTTATTTCATTTATTTATATATATATATATATATTTTTTTTTTCGAGATGGAGGTCTCACTCTGTAGCCCAAGCTGGAATGCAGTGGCATGATCTTAGCTCACTGCAACCTCCGCTCCCAGCCTCAAGCCATCCTCCCACCTCAGCTTCCTGAGTAGCTGGGACTACAGGCACACGCCATCACATCCGGCTATTTTTTTTTTGTAGAGATAGGGTTTTGCCATGTTACCCAGGCTTGTCTTGAACTCCTGAGCTCAAGTGATCCTCCCACCTCGGCCTCCCAGAGTCCTGGGATTACAGGTGTGAGCCACTGCACCTGGCCTGAGAAGTCTTAATCATAACTGTATGACGTGAGATGTGGAGTCTGATGGACCCTGTGCTATGCCCTCCTCTCTGCTCATGTTAACTGCCTCTGGGACTCTTAACCTGGCAAAGCTGCCCAGTCAAAGTGCCTTCTCACGGACCTTGAGGTCTCTTTAGCACTAAATGTTATGATGGCATTAAGAGAGCACTGTGCTGTCCATAACTTAGTAAAAATATTACACATCTGTCCTCTGGAAAAGGCTGAACCAGCTCTATTACTATCATATGATGCTCTCTAGTATATCACACTTAGAGGAAGTACATGATTTCTTGCCACTATTGCCTTTTCTTACTTCAGAGAGCTTAATAATGCCCTTTGAGACAAATTGCTGCTGGTAGTAGAGCTCGCTTCATTTATTTATGTAACTCAGAAAATCTGTGCTGAGTTACTTAGTCATATCTTCAACCAGCTTCCCAGCGTCATCACTCTGGATTCCATGAAAACCACCATATATCATAATTCAATAGAGATAAAGTTTCTCTATTTTCTCTTAAATGGAGAATGCTTGCTGATATGATTGGGTGCTATTTCAGGCCAGTCTCCAGATGTCTGAAAAAATATCCAGGGACAATATAATGTAGATTGAGTGCAAGCCACAAGTTCTTGACATCTAACAGCTCCCATGTAATTGGGAGGTCCATTTAAAAATGACAGCTTACTCATAGGATCTTTATTATTGTTCCAAATTAACAAGCATTAGTATATTTTCAGTGCAGGTAAATCAAGAACAACATTCTCTTTGATGCTTTTTATGAATGGCACAAGATTAGCATGTTACCTAAGAGAGCTTTTCTCAATGCTAGATGGCTGCAAATTGTTTATAGATAAAGTAGCAGGAGAAAAATTCAACAAAATCCTGTTTCTCAGTGATGCATTATTTTTTTAGTTATGCTTTTAGGCATGAGCTAATCTCTGATTACCTCAACACTGACAATAAAACTGATTTATAAGTAATCACAATGGAACCATTCAGTGTTGGAGCTTGACAAGCCTTTGTTCAAAGCTTGTCACTAAAAATAATGTCCCAATAAGACTTAAATGTCATAAAACCTTTTGCAATGAAAATAAAAGTTTCATACATCCACTGAAACTTATACAGTAAGAGAAGCCTGCTAAGCCCTTGCCTCTCGGCTTTCTTCATTAAAATGAAAAGATATTTTACTCTTGAGATTGCCTATTTTAGAGAAAAATTACATTTTGAAGATGGGTTCCTACTTACCTGATCTTTAGAAAGCAGTCTGACATTAGCCTCTGGTTTTGATTTAATGAGTTGCTTTATCATTTTTTTTTTCTCGTCTTAAAAATTAAAACAGACCAGGCATGGTGGCTATAATCTTAGCACTTTGGGAGCCGAGCCAGGCAGATCACAAGGTCAGGAGTTTGAGACCAGCCTGGCTAATAGGGTGAAACCCTGTCTGTACTAAAAATACCAATTTAGCCAGACGTGGTGGTGGACGCCTGTAGTCCCAGCTACTTGGGAGGCTGAGGCAGGAGAATCGCTTGAACCTGGGAGGTGGAGGTTGCAGTGAGCCGAGATCACGCCACTGCACCCCAGCCTGGGCAACAAAGCGAGACTCTGTCTCCAAAAAAAAAAAAAAGAAAACAAACTACTGAGACTTTTGATTTAGGCTGAACCACAGGGAGTGGCCAATTTTTGGTAAAAAATGATCAAGTACTGGCCATTTCATGTGGTTCAACCTAATATCAAACTCAGTATTTCCAGGACTAATAGGTGACATTTCCTGAATTAATTTTGGTAGGTTTAGATTAGGTGGTCAATTATTTTCTCAGACTCTCCTGTGTGCCCACAGCAGAGTTCCAGCACAACTGTAAGCAACAAATACGACACATATTCTTTCAGCAACATGTCTGTGCCTCTTCTGCTTGGCCCTCTGCTAGTTCTGGGGACACACAGGAATTATGTATTCAGTCATTCATCCCTCTAGGAGTCATGTTGCCTATCCCTCAAAATTCATGTGTTGGAAACTTAATTCCCAATGCAACAGAGTAGGAAGGTGCAGCCTTTTAGGAGGTGTGTAGGTCATGAGCGCTCCACCCTCATGAATGAGCTAATATTCTTAGTAAAAGACCTGATGGAGGGAATTCTTTTTTTGCTCTTCCACTTTGTCATGTGAGGACACAGCATGCTCCCCTTCAGATGGCGCAGCATGTAAGGCACCATGTTGGAAGCAGAGAGCAGCCCTCACCAGATGGCAGTGCCCTGATCTTGGCCTATCCAGCCTCCAGAACTGTGAGAATAAATGTCTGTTTAAGTTGCCCAGCCTGTGGACTAAGACCACGATTGGTACCAGGGGAGTGGGGTGTTGCTAAAACAAATACCTAAAAATGTGGAAGCGGCTTTGGAACTGGGTAATGGGTTGAGGCTAGAAGAGTTGTGAAATGAAAGCAGGAAAAAGCTTGTATTGCCATGAGTGGAGCATTAAGGGTGATTCTGGTGAGGGCTCAGAAGAAGAGGAGAGCTGTGGGGAAATTCTCACTCATTCTCCTGAGAAACTGCGTAAGTGGTTTTGAACCGAATGCTGATAAAAATATGGACTGTAAAGACCATTCTGATTAGGTCATAGACAGAAATGAAGAATATCACTGGAAACTGGGGAAAAGGAAACTTGTTACAAAGTGGCAAAGAACGTGACTGAATTATGTCCATGTCTGTGTTCTAGGACCTTGTAAGGGGCAGAACTTAGGAGCAATGAACTAGAATATTTGGCAGAAGAAATTTCTAAGCAGGGAAGTGTGCAGGATGCTGTGTGGTTTCTCTTAACTGCTTATGTTAAAATGGGAGAAGAGAAATTATTTAAAGACAGAATTTATAATTCAAAGGGAAGCAGAACACCAAGATTTGGACAATTCTTAGTCCAGCCATGTAAAGAAAAAGATTTAGACAATTCTCAGCCCAGCCACGTAAAGAATAAAAAAGTATGTGTGATGGCTCATGCCTGTAATCCCAGCATTTTGGGAGGTTGAAGCAAGTGGATCACTTGAGGTCAGGAGTTCTAGACCAGACTGGCCAACATGGTGAAACACCGTCTCTACTAAAAATACAAGTTAGCTGGGCGTGGTGGCAGGCGCCTGTAATCCCAGCTATTTGGGAGCCTGAGGTAGGAGAATCACTTGAACCCGGGAGGCAGAGGTTGCAGTGAGCTGGGTTGGCACCACTGCACTCCAGCCTGAGTGACAGAGTGAGACTCCGTCTCAAAAAAAAAAAGAAAAAAAAAGGAGTTTTAGGCCGGGCATGGTAGCTCATGCCTGTAATTTCAGCACTTTGGAAGGCCGAGGTGGGTAAATCACTTGAGATCAGGAGTTCGAGACCAACCTGGCCAACATGGTGAAACCCCATCTCTACTAAAACTATAAAAAAAAAAAAAAATTAGCCAGACATTGTGGCAAGCACCTGTAATCCTAGCTACTCGGGAAGCTGAGGCAGGAGAATCACTTGAACCCAGGAGGTGGCGTCTGCAGTGAGCCAAGATCGCATCACTGCACTCCAGCCTGGACAACAGAACGAGACTTTGTCTCGAAAAAAAAAAGTGTGTTTAGAAGATAGCACACAGGGTGTGGCCAGGCCACCATTTGATGAGATTAGTATGGATACAAGAAAGCCATGTGCCATTTGTCAAGACAATGGGAGAATGACCCCAAAGGTATTATGGACATCTCGGGACAAGGGGAGGGGGCAACCATGCCCATCAAAAGCCCAGAGTGCTAGGGTCTTGGGGACAGATGGATTTTGAGGAGGGGCCCAGGGTGCCCATGGGACCTGTGTGCTCATTGCTGAGGGCCACCTTGGATCTCTGCACCCTGCACTCTGGCACAGTGCTCCTTGGCCACCCCACCTCTGATTCAAGCAGGCCCAGGTCCAGGTAGGACCACTGCTTTGGAGGGTGCAAGCAGTGAGCCTTGGTGCATCCACGTGGTGCTTAATTCCGCAGGTGTGCAGAGTGCAAGAGCTGTGGAGGCATGGCTTCCTTCACCTAGATTTCCAGGAATGCCTCAGTGGGCCCAGGCAAAGAACTGCTGCAAAGACCAAGTCTCTGCAGAGAGCCCCCACTAGGGCAGTGCCTAGTGGAGTCATAAGAGTGGGGCTGCCCCAGAAACCCCAGAAGTGTAGAAGCACCAGCATAGAGTGCCAGTCTGGGAAAGCTGCGGGCAGGTTATTTCAGTGCATGGGAGCTGCAGCATGGGCTATACCC